TAGACCAGGCCGAAGCCATGCTGGCCCAATGTTTCCTCTTCGCACTGTGTAGACCAGGCCGAAGCCACGTTGGCCCAATGTTTCCTTTTTACACTGGGTAGACCAGGCCGAAGCCACATTGGCCCAGTGTTTCCTTTTTGCACTGGGTAGACCAGGCCGAAGCCACGCTGGCCCAATGTTTCTTCTTTGCATTGAATAGACCAGGCCAAAGCCACATGGGCCAGCCCCTTAAATTTTCCAGGATGCCCCTGTGGGCTTGATCCGACCATGTCGCGGGCCGGATCCAGCCCACAGGCCTTGTGTTTGACACCCCTGCGCTAGACTAAGAGTCCCTGATACAGATCCTATGGATAGAATATGTCCACAGATATCCTCTTTTGGACCTTCCCATCTCTTTTTACCCCCTGTTTAAAATTAAAATTTTAAATTCAAGTGGTTTAACACATGTCCTGAAACAACCCACTGACTTTTACAATAAAAGCTTTATGGTGATACAACATCCATCTGTTGGAAGACAAAACTGATGAGACTGCTGTGTGCCACCTTCTTTCCCCACAGGGAAATATCACCCTCTACCTCATCTTTGTCTTTTGGGAGGAACAAGCAAGCATAAGAGCTATGGTGGCACAGTGATTAGAATGCAGTATTGCAGGCTAACTCTGCCGACTGCCAGCAGTTCGATTCTTACCAGCTCAAGGCTGACTCAGCCTTCCATCCTTTCGAGTTCAGTAAAATGAGGGGGGAAATATGTTGACTCTATAAACTGCTTAGAGAAGGCTGTAGAGCACTGTAAAGTCTTAGTGCTAAATCTTAGTGCTATTGCTATATTATCCAATTAATTGCTGCATTTCAGCCACGCACCTTTTTTATTGAAAATATCTCAAGGCCAATGAAGAGTCCAAGGGCATTCAGGGAAATGTGATTTGGAAAGTCAGTGGGTTGTTTCAGGACAGCTTAAGAGGCCCTCTGCTGGTGGTGAGGAAAGGACCTGCCAGTTCTTCAAGGGGTTACCAAAGTGACATTGACATCATTGGATACTGATTCAGGAATTATTCTGAAAGGAGCTCCAGAACGATGGGTTGTGCAATGACTGGAACAGATGCCTGTGAAGGCTAGTGCTGCTACTACCTCACAATTCATCACACGAAGAAAGGATGTGAGTTGTGAGAGCTTCTTGGGACATCAGAGATTCGAGTTAGGTTAAAGGCATAGGAAGCACTTTACATAACAATCTAGTTAAACATTAGAACTAGAAGTTGAGTTTTTTCTTCAGCAGCTCCTGCTCTGTGGAACATCCTCCCTTCAGAGATTAGAATGGCCCCAACGCTGTTAGCCTGGGAAGCTATATGCACCACAGGCCCAGCCTCCTGGCCTATATTGTTAACAGGTCAGATACCTTTTGTATGTACTTGCTTTGGTGCTTTAGTGTTTCTTTTTTACTGTTTTACTGTTTTTAATCGTTTTTATTGTTTTAATTTAAATAATAATAATAATTGTAATATGTTTTGAATTGTGAGCGACCCAGAATTATTTGCTGAGATGGGTGGCTATAGAAATCAAGCATACAAACAAACCTTAGATGACACAAATGTGTGACGAAGCTATCAAAAATTCAGCTTGTAGTACAATGAGGTCCTAGTCAGTAGATTAACATGGAAGGAAAATATCTTGCAAGGAAAACATGCTTTGATTGATCCTGAGGTAAAATTGAGCAAAACACTAAGGTGGGTAGATCAAACCATACAATGAGTTGTAAGCAGGGTGTAGTTAATGACCCCTTGGTGGGGTTTAATGTAAGTCGCAGACTTATTTAGAGAGAACAATCATGGTGTCAGGAATATGAACCATTTAGCAACTCTGGAAATAAGAGTAAGAAGAAACTCAAAGCTCTGAAGTTTGGGGAATTAGCAAGATATTTAATTGCTGGATGGAAGCAGATATTCTTCCTGTGTATCTTGCATAGGATTCTTCCTATACAAGATAGCTATTAAACTGAAGAAGAACTTCAGGTATTGAGCCTTAGTTATGCCAATGAGTCATAGGCAAAAAAAAACACCAACCACTTTTAAAATCTTTTACTGCTGGTGCCAGAAAACAGTCATGTAGTAATTAGAAAATGTGTTTGACAAAAGCCTGGGGAATCTCCAAAATCTTATATATAGCTGGAGGTGGTAAGGAGAAGATCTCATGCCCATGCCATCTGTTGTCTTGTTTCTAGTTTTTATATACCTTTTAAATTTTAATTGTTTCTATATTTTTCTTTTTACTGTCTGTAAGCATCCAGAATTGTCTTACCAGTGAGAAGGGTGGAATATAAATTTAATAAGTAAAAGGCAGTTGCACAATAATTGAGCAGGGACTCAGCAAAAATGAGGATATTAAGTACCAATTAGGTATTTTAGTTTTATTTATTAAATATCTATAGCTGCCAAACTCAGTTAAGTGACTTGGGTGGCTTATAATTGTAAAATTATTTAAAAAATTAAACAATTAAAACCATCAAGACATCCACAAAATAAATGGACAAAATATTTCAGAAGCAACAGAAATTATTTTAAGAAGTTGTAAATGCTCAAACACTGGAAGTTTTTAAGAAGATGTTGGATAAGCATTTGTCTGAAGTGGTGTAGGGTTTCCTGCCTAAGCAGGGGGTTGGACTAGAAGACCTCCAAGGTCCTTCCAACTTTGTTTATTCTATTCTAATTCTAATTCTACTCTACTCTACTCTAGACATTTCAAGGGCCAGATAGGACCAAATCAAGAAAATTTAATAGGGATCTGCAGATGGTTGCTAAAACATCCCAGCATTCAAACAGTCCTATAGAAAGAAAAGCCTATGTGAGTTTTGTCGCATTAGCAATGCGATCTCTATCAATACAGCAAATGGACTGTAGATGCACTTACTGTGGAAGAAGACAAACAAAAATCAGGATGCACTGCCAAGATGGAAGAATGCCACAAATGTAAGAAAATGGGTCATTTGGTAGCTATCTGTTATGCTTGACCGATGAGAGTAGTTGCAAAACATGTTGATTCCAATGAGCATTTCACTTTGAAACCAAGTACATGTTTGGATGATCTGTCAAATTCTGGGAAGCATTTGTAAACTAATGGCTATAAAAGTCTTCTAAAATTAATTCAGGAGTTGATATAATGATTAATTCAGAATTTGTCCTCAGAAGCTTTCAGGGTATGTCCCATCCTCAACAGATTATCACATATCCTAGTAAGCCATAGCAGTAATATGTACATGATCAGATTACTTTATAACTACTATTCAGTACAGAGAGTAGAAATATGAAGTCTATGTGCTTACATGGTCGTATAAATGTTCTTTTGAACCAAGACAGCATCTGTTGCATCGAGAACTCTGTCCAGAAGGTCTGTGGAGATTCTCAATCATCCAGGTCATGGATGTCCCAAAGGTGCTTTTCATAAGGCAAATGGATTTTCTTGGGGGGGGTTTTCCTTGAAGTCGTTTAGCTTTTCATCCAAGAAGCTTCTTCAGAACTGACAAGGGTGCAGAAAAGATTCCTCCAATAACACAGAGAAAGCTACAGAGAAAGCTGTTTCATCCACACTATCAAACTGGTATCAGTCATACTGGTCCCCAAAGTAAGAGCAGAAGTGATGAGGATGGGCTATTGGGGGAAGGGAATTGCACCAGTCACTGCAGCAAAAATTACTGGTGCTCGAGAAACATGGCATATTTCCAACTGGGGAGATGTTCAGCCAAAACATACTGAAACATTTGAATATAGAGGCAGAAGCCAAGATAGACATCTCAATACAAATGTTCTCATAGTAATGAATCTCCTTTCAGTCAAAATGAAACTTTTCTATAGTTCCACAATCTACTGAGTTTTTAATCTATGTAATCACCCAAGCCTGAAGAAATCTATAACACTTTAATTGTGAGCAAGAGGCGCACTTCTGAGCTAAACATAAATTTATATGGAGCATTTTTCAATGCAGGAAAATAGGTTCAGGTACCCATTCAGCCCATTTCACATATATTTACTGTATACATATTAAAAATATGATATTGTACATATGGGATCCATGTTATCGTTCACATTGATGTGTCTACCCCAGTCTTTTCTAATTAGTTCCTTGAAGATTTGTTGAGACCATAACTTAGAATCTCCAGCCTCCAGAACACATTGCCTGTTTTTTTATATGCATTGTAAAACTTTGCACTATTATAATCACCTTTTTTTTTTTTTTTTACTACAACCTAATGATAGCTGCACACTGTTAACAGTTGCCCAGTTTTCTGCAGCTTAGGATCTGGAAGGGGTCTGGAAGGATCTGGAAGCCGAACGGTCAAGAGATGGTGCTCTAGTCAAAGGACCAAGCTCATTGGTTCTAGATTTGAATCTGAAGATTGCAATGACCACTAAAGTGATTGAGATGAATGCTATACTCAGTGTAGGAATCCAGACTGAAGGATTCATGATGGATGTCTTCCTAGCCTTAAACAGTCCATTGTTTAAGAAGTTGTGAAATGTATTTTGGATTCCCAGGAGGGTAAGGCTGCATCCCAGAGAGTGGCCTGCAGCAAAGCTTGGAAAGTTTGGTTAGCAGGAAGAAGGTTAAAATGGCTCCTTTTAGCTATTCCCAAAGTATATCAATTGTTACGCAATTAATTGCTTTAGTCTGGCAAGAGTCCATCTATGGATGAGTGAAGAACAATAAACTACTCAGAAATAACTCCATGTGTCATTCTTGGTTCTTGGGGCCTGACATAAGCACACCACTTCTCTGAGGAATTGCTTCCACAGTCAAGTTGTTCTTATTGAAAGGATGTTATGTTATCCTTAACTTAAAAATGCTGATCAGATCTTTCTAAACATTAACAACTCTTCACTTTTAGGAGTACTTGCTTTTCGGCAGCAGATGACCAGAAAAAAGACGTTTTATTTTTTGCTTATGAGAAACCATAAATTTGTATTTTGAAAGAATAATCAAGTTCTCAAGTTGTGCCAACGAAAGGATCCCTTAGTTTCCCATTGGTGCTATATTTAAAACAAGATTTAAAACCAAACAGGGATATAAATAGGAGACATTACTGTTTCTTATTTCACCTGAAATACCACCTGGTTAAAAACATCTGGCACCTTAAAATTTATTTGATGATCAACCTGCAAAATTATACATTCTTGGAAAAGATATATCACCCACAAACTATATCTAAGAATGCATTTGAATAAATTTTCTGCTTCTTAATTCTTTAAAGAAATTATTAATAGATATAACCTTGATAATCATCATGAATCCAGTTCCGGAAAAACCAAGTTTATGATAATTTGCCAGGAACATCTGGGTACCATTTGGAAAAATAAATGACAAATACAGCTTCTATCAATCTTTTGTGGCAGAGCAGGGCAGGAAAGAGAAACCACAAGCAATATTAGCACTCTACTTTTATTGATGTAGACAGTAATAGCAGAATCTTGAAGGCCTGACAGAGTTTTTCATTTCCCCTTTTTCTTCCCTCTTATACCCACTATAGTCAAGGCAGGTCAATGAGGTTCTTTCTCCCTCTCCATTTTTCTGCTAAGCTGCTGTTTTTGTAATAGCTACTGTAAAGCATACTTTTACTTCAAAGCCATGGCCTAACTCGGTGTCAAACTCAAGGCCCACGGGATCTGGCACGTGGTAACAGTGGTACCTTGGTAACAGTGAAGGATTGGCCCGCAGTGCCTCTGCCAGTGAAAACGGAGCTCAGAAGGGCCACGGTAGGCCCTCCCTAGTTTTGTTTTTTTCTGGCAGAGGGTTGCAGGAGGCCATCGCAGCTGAAAATGGAGCTTGGGAGTCCGTTTTCATTGGCAGAGTGCTCGGGCCACCACATGCACCCCTGACACGAGTGACGTCAAACTGGCCACACACAGCCTGGCCACGCCCCCCTGCCCCCCCCCAAGGTCAAACCCAACCCTGATGTGACCCTCAGTTTGAAATTGAGTTTGACACCCCTGGGCTAACTCCTCTACATCTTTAAGAAACAGTCATAAAACCTTGGACATGGAGATTCCAGAAGATAGAAGTGACACCTCAGACTATACCTTATGAAACTGCTTTTTCAGCAAAATAATTAAAGGGATAGGTAGTCCTTGACTTACAACAGTTCATTTAATGATTGTTCAAAGTTACAATGGCAATGAGAAAAGTGACTTATGACCGTTTTTCACACTTAAGCACTCCATCAAGGAACTGAATGACTACAGACCAATTGCTCTAACATCTGTAGTTATGAAAATCTTTGAAAGGCTTGTGCTGTCCCACCTGAAAACCATCACGGATCCACTGTTAGATCCCATGCAGTTTGCATACCGAGCAAATAGATCAACAGATGATGCTGTTAACATGGTTCTGCATTATATCCTACAATACCTTGAATCTCCAAATACTTACGCAAGGGTCCTCTTTGTAGACTTCAGTTCAGCATTCAATACCATCATTCCAGATACTCTTCTAAGTAAATTAAACTAACTAGTAGTACCTAAACCCACTTGTAAGTGGATCATAAGCTTTCTAACAGACAGGAAGCAGCAGGTGAAGCTAGGCAGAATCACATCCAATACCTGTACAATCAGCACAGCCCCCCCCAAAGCTGTGTGCTTTCTCCACTTCTCCCTATATACCAATGACTGCATCTCAAATGATCCATCTGTTAAAATACTGAAGTTTGCTGATGACACAACAGTGATTGGTCTCATTCGAGACAATGATGAATCTGCATTACAGACAGGAGGTTATACAACTTGCCTCGTGGTGTAACTGGAACAATCTGTAACTGAACATACTCAAAACCGTAGAAATGGTGGTAGACTTTAGAAGAAACCCTCCCATACTACCACCTCTTACAATACTAGACTAACACTGTATCAACAATAGAGACTTTCAAATTTCTAGGTTCTATATCACATGATCTAAAATGGACACCTAACATCAAAAGCGTCATCAAAAAAGCACAACAAAGAATGTTCTTTCTGCACCAACTCAGGAAGCTCAAACTACCCAAGGAGCTGCTGATCCAGTTCTACAGAGGAATGATTGAGTCTGTCATCTGCACCTCTATAACTGGTTTGGTTCTGCAACCCAACAGGACAGACACAGACTTCAGAGAATAATTAGGACTGCAGAAAAAATAATTACTACCAACCTGCCTTCAATCGAGGACCTGTATACTGCACGAATCAAAAAGAGGGCTGTGAAAATATTTACAGATCTCTCACATCCCAGACATAAACTGTTTCAATTCCTTCCCTCAAAACGACGCTATAGAGCACTGCACACCAAAACAATTAGACACAAGAACAGTTTTTTCCCCAAATTCGTGCTCACATAATATACTATTTCATATCTTATTTAACATTCTATATTTTCTATATATTTTCTCTCTCCTATTCATTCTTTTAATTCTATTTTATTTATTTCATCTCAATTTAAATAATTATACTTGCATCTTTTGTCCGTTCTCTTTCAATCATCTATTTTTCCTTTCTTTCTAATACAATATTTTTCCTATAACCACTGATTGAAGTATGACAACTTTTTATCTTTCCCCTAAATTTTACACTTAGAATAATACATACTTTCCATACTGATTCTGCTTCGTACATTCTAAGTACTACATTTCAAAATAATAAAACAAGCCAATAATATTAAATTTAATAAGTAATTGTAAAACCAAGAAAAAAAGAATATTGAGTTTATAATATAATAAGAACATTTATGTCCGTACAAAAAGATCTAACCCGGGGTAAGCCGCTTTCCAAAAAGAAGTTTTATGTATTTATGTTTTGTGTAATGTTTGTTTATATTTGAAAGGATGTTGGAAGAGAATTAATGTCCCAGCCAAGTTGTTTTGACAGAGTAAAAATGGGCTTTATGATGGGCTTTGCTGTTGGCATGGCAGCAGGTGCACTATTTGGCACATTTTCTTGTGTCAGGATTGGCATGAGAGGACGAGAACTGATGGGTGGCATTGGCAAAACCATGATGCAGAGTGGTGGAACGTTTGGGACATTTATGGCTATTGGCATGGGAATCCGCTGTTAACTTGAATTTCTTTTATTCTTTTTTACCATGAAGACTAATGCCCCTGTTAGTCCACATCCTGTTATGTAAAATAATAAAACTTTGTACCAGGAATAAAAAAAAAAAAGAACAGTTTTTTTTCCCAAAAGCCATCACGCTGCTAAATAAATAATTCCCTCAACCCTGTTCAACTATTACAAAGTCTGCACTACTATTACTATTAATCTTCTCATCACTCCTTATCACTCATCCCCTCCCACTTGTGACTATATGACTGTAACTTTGTCCCTTGTATCCTTACAATTTATATTGACTGTTTCCTTTTATCTTTTCTTTTATGTATACTGAGAATATTTACACCAAGACAAATTCCTTGTGTGTCCAATCACACTTGGCCAATAAAGAATTCTACCTTAACAACCATTGCAGCACCCCCATGGTCACATGATCAAAATTGACAAACTTGGCAATTGATTCATATTTATGATGGTTGCAGTGTCCTGGGGTTACGTGATCAGCTTCTGCAACCTTCTGACAAGCAAATCAATGGGAATCCAGGTTTACTTAACCACTTCACTAACTTAACATTGCAGTGTTTCACAACGGTGGCAAGAAAGGTTGTAAATGGGGCAAAAATCATTTAACAAATGTCTTACTTAGCAACAGATGTTTTTGACTCAATTGAGATCAAATAAGTTGAGGACTACCTGTATAGGAACCCTGATCCTTTCTCTAACTGGCATGTACTCAAACATGGTCAAAGCTTTGTAGTCTTTTACTCAGTTCCTGTGGGTTTCAGGTATTTAAAGACTAATTTCCAATGTAGCACCAGAGGAAAACTACTGTTGCTGTATGGAGAAACAAAGGCAGGTTTCCCTAACCTTTGTGCCATTTAGAGTCACTGGACTTCTGTTCCTGTAATCTTAAATTACACGGCCATGGAAATCCAACCTCTTCACAGGGCACAACATCTTTTTATAAGTTGATTTGGGATAAATAATAAAAAAATTATGAAAATGCAGGATATAAATATTGAAAATAAAATACATTTCAGGCATTACTTTCTTCCAACGTTTTAAACTGATCTATTGAACTCTTGGTGGGAAAACTCAATGGAAAATCTATTTTCCTTCCTTGGTTTCACGATCACATGAATAATGCTTATACATGATGGAGCTGTAATTTCAGGCAGCACAGGGCTGCAACTTTCCCAAGAATGTATTTCTTGGCAAGTTCCCCTTTGTGGGTTTAATATTTTAAGTCAAATATGGGTTGTATAAACTGGCAGAGGGAAGAGGGAGGATTTGTGTATAAAAGCTCTGAGAAGCAATGAAGTTTTTGCAGCAGAACAGCTGTGGTTCCGCAAAAATGAAGGAAGGTTATCCTACTCTTTGCAAACAGTTGGACTCTTTTGTACAGTATATGTGTGACGGATGGACGGAAGGAAGGAAGGAAGGAGTTGGGGTGATTTGCTTGCTATTTTGTCTTGTTACCTTGCCACAAAAGAAGTAGCCTGAATGCAAGGTGCAGTCCTCCTGTGTACTCAACTCCACCTGTCTCTCTTGTGATTGCTTCTGAAAAGAGATAAGACTTTCCCTAGTTCAGGGGTGTCAAAGTCCCAGCCCGTGGCGCAGGCCAGATGCGTCACATGCTGGCTATGCCCATGTCCGGTTTAGCGAAGGGGGAAAAAAGCCCCCCTACATCACGTGAAGCCTCCATGATGCTGTGAGTTTGACACCCCTACCTAGTTACTTTTTTCCTCCTCCGCTTTCTGTTTTCTTACCCTGGGAATCCCCAACAGATATTGCTAGCTGCAACTTGTGGTCCTCGGGCTACATATGGATATTGATTTTTTTTTAATTTAAAAAAGAAATCTGGTCCTTGGACATCTTTTCTTGAATGCTGTATGATTGAACCAAGGCAGGACAATTATCTGTAGATAAGGGCCAAAGAAATCTAGGTGTCTTCATTTTGTGGTATGGGGGCCCTTGTTAGTCTGGCAGGACCTTTTCCAAAAAGCTTAATTACATATAGAAATGCTCCCCTTTTCTGCCCCCCCCAAAGCTTTTAAAAAGGGTGGTTATAGTGGTGGAAGAGATGGAAACTGCATGATGAGAGTAGAAATGGAACTGAATGAATGAATAACTTTATTATTATTTTGAATGTACATTAATCGGCATACATTAAATGAAATTTTGTTGCATACATTGACAGTATGAGAAGGGGGAACTGAGTTGGCCTGGAGATAACACACACAACACACATGCATACCTACACACACACACACACACACACACACTCCTATTTTCCTCTCTTACTTGATAATCTCAGACATCCTGCATACTTCCATTTTCATAGAAATAGTTCATTTCAGCCAAATTATGTACAACCTGGAAAGAGGATGATGTTCTCAAGGAAGTCTTTTTTCCTGCATTTTGAAGTCCTGGAAAAAAGAAAGGACCAGGAGTGGCTTTAGAAAATTCAGCTTGCAGTGGGGAAATTGTAGCGGCACCCATGTTAGCTGGAGGATGACTTGTGCATGAGCTTACCTGGTTTCCCAGTTATGATGTAAACAGCCCAGGTAGAATGGTGGTATCGTCTGCCTGTGTGATGTCTAGTAGAAAAGAAAGAGATGTTTATCAAGATAAACCTCCAATCCAGAGAGGACTTTTCCATGCTTACCCCTTTCCTATTTCTAGCTTGCATAAAGTTTTTTCATTCTTTCTGGTATTAATCAAACCATGATTTGCTGATTCTGCAAATCCTGATAACTGAATGGGCATACGATGATTTAAGTAATTCTCCTCAAACCCTGGACTACAAAACAAGTTCAAGCCCTATTAATGGACAACAAAGCTTGGTAATGAATTAATAGGGCTGGGCAGCATTTTACAAATAATTCAAAATAGGTCCTTTGAAGTACATACAGGTGCAAACTTAACACCAGTGTTCAACCCTTTTGAGCAGCAGCAGCATTTCCCTTTAGGATCATATGGCTGCCTTCAGCTGTCACATCATCCTGGTTAAAAAAATATGGCTGTTTTAAACGGTTGCAGACTAGTGCTATGTTTACACCCCGCTATTCTTCAGAGCACCTTTAAAAAAAACATTTGAAGCATTGCAGAGTCCTATCAGAGCATGAGAAGGAAAAGGAGGATATAAAAGAAGTGATTGCATATTTTGTTCCACTTTCCCCAGTCTTCTTGTTCAGGCCAACTGGTTGTGATGGGATTTCTGCTCCAGCATTAGATTATAGAAGGCTTAATTGGCTACCACAGCCTAGCAACTCTCAGAAGAGATATGGTTTTCATTTTTGTTCATCAGCTTCCAGAGTCCAGAGATGGCACAAGGCCAATGAGCAGAAAAGTCATTTCCTCCTTATTTTGCATTATTTTGCCCAAGCCCTGTGCAGCCTCTCATTAGCAGAACCCATTAATGGAATTAGGGCCAACCAGCTGTAAAAGGAAGTGAGGTTATGAGAGAACAGTAAGTGATACTTGGCAGAACTGACCTGGATATCTAGTGGGGAGTTTGGAGGAATAATGGGGATATTTGGTAAGGGTGTTATTGTAGGAAGTAGAGCAATGTTTCTTAACTTTGACCCCTTTAAGATGTGTGAACTTCTATTCCCAGAATTGCTGGCTGGGGAATTCTATAAGTCCACCATCTTAAAGAAGGGAAACTTGAGAATCACTGAAGTAGTCATAACCTCTAATAGAGAACCTTTGACCCATCTGGCTCATAATTAAAAACTTAGGCAAGATGCCACATCCCCACATTTCCTGGAGCTAGGTGGACGTAGCCTTTATTTGGAAAAGAAATGAGCAATGTGTCTGTTCTGAATGTAATAATTTAATAGAACAAAGACTTTCGTTATTAGGGAAAATGGGATTAGGGTGATGTTGGATCTAGGTTTGGTAGGATCACAGTGTTCCCATCCCAGTTTACTTGTCTTTCCCCCTTGGGACGAGTCCATCTAGCTTCTGGTTATAATGAAGACAGAGTTAAGCTTGCAAAGATTGATATGATTGGCTACTGTGGGAAGCACTATGGAAGTGGGAAGCAAGATTTTGGTATGATCTGGAAAAGTTTTTCTATTCTGATATTTTAGCAGCAATAATTGATTTTTGATTATGTGCCATCAAATTGTTTTTTACAATTTGAACAATTATTTCTCCACAATGATCTGTCCTTAACCTGGGTCTTTCAGGTCTTTCAATTGTGCACCCATTGTCATTGTAATTGGGTCCATCCATCTTGCTGCTGGTCATCCTCTTCTCTTTCTTTTCACCTTTCCCAGCATTAGATCCTTTTCCAGAGAGCTGGGTCTTCACATGTGTCCGAAGTAAGATAATGAGAGCCTGATCATTTGTGTCTTGAGTGAGACTCTGAGTTGATTTGTTCAATGATTCATATGTTTGTTTTCTAGACCAGTGGTCACCAACCAGTGGGCCGGGGACCACTGGTGGGCCGCGAGAAAATTTTGGTGGTCCACAGAGAAATGTCACCCCCAAAGCACCCCCCAAAGCAATTAATCCAGGCTGCGCAGGAACACAAGGCTGCACCACCCACATGGCCCGTGGGAACACAAGGCTTGCATCACTTGCATTGCGAACAACACAAGGTAGTGAGGGGAGGGGGGGAAGGATGGAGGGGGGGAACTTGCCCCACTCACCCCACACGCCTGGCCTGGCCACCCGGCTGCTTCTTTCTGCTTCTTTCTTCTTCTGCTTTTGGCTGCATGCAAGGAAAGCAGCAAAAGTCTTTCTTTCTCTCCCTCAAACTCTGCCAGAAATGAGTCTTTGGGACCCTGCAAGGCATCCTGCTCCAAGAGGCTGCACCAGCGTGACAAGTCTCACAAAGTCTCATTTCTAGCGGAGTTTGTGGGAGAGAAAGAAAAGACTTCTGCTCCTTCTGCTGGTTTCCTTGCATGAAGCCAAAAGTCTCTCTCTCTCTCTCCCCCCCACCCCTGAGAACGGAGCTGGAGATGGTATCCTGCGCTCCCAAATAAAGAATGATTGATTGATAGGAAAATGGGGTGGGGAATTTTTCTGCAGGCTTTTTGGGGGATTTTCCCGGGGTCTCTGGTCCGCGGGATTTAAAATTATGAGTTTGGTGGTCCCT